GAATCAAATTTACTGTTTTCTAACATATTCTAACACCAAACAACACTAGATAAGTCATTTAGTGGTTCAACGCAATGTTTCCGAGTTCTTAGCCCATTTGGGACCCAATTTCAACAAGTTTTTCTACATAGTTCTAAACACTCTTCATGCATCTCTAGCACTTTTAATCAATAAAAGTTATTGTATTCTAAGATATTTTAACCCTAAACAACACTAGATAATTCATATAGTGGTTCAACACAATGTTTTCGAGTTCTTAGCCCATTTGGGACCAAATTTCAACAAGTCTTTCTACACACTTCTAAACACTCTTCATCCATCTCTAGCACTTGTAATCAGTCAAAGTTATTGTATTCTAACAAATTCTAGATAAGTCATTTAGTTCTTTAACGTAATGTTTCCGAGTTCTTAGCCCATTTGGGACCCAATTTCAACAAGTTTTTCTACACACTTCTAAACACTCTTCATGCATCTCTAGCACTTGTAATCAATCAAAGTTATTGTATTCTAACATATTATAACCCCAAAAAACACTAGATAGGTCATTTAGTGGTTGACCGCAATGTTTCTGAGTTCTTAGCCCATTTGGGACCCAATTTCAACAAGTCTTTCTCCACTCTACTGAACACTTTTCATGCATATATAGCACTTGTAATCAATCAAATTTATTGTTTTCTAACATATTCTAACCCCAAACAACACTAGATAAGTCATTTTGTGGTTCAACGCAATGTTTCCGAGTTCTTAACCCATTTGGGACCCAATTTCAACAAGTCTCTCTCCACACTTCTAAACACTCTTCATGCATCTCTAGCACTTGTAATCAATCAAAGTTATTGTATTCAAAGATATTCTAACCCCAAACAACACTAGATAAGTCATTTAGTGGTTCAACGCAATGTTTTCGAGTTCTTAGCCCATTTGGGACCCAATTTCAACAAGTCTTTCTACACACTTCTAAACACTCTTCATGCATCTCTAGCTCTTGTAATCAATCAAATTCATTGTATTCTAACATATTCTAACCCGAAACAACATTAGATAAGTCATTTAGTTCTTCAACGCAATGTTTCCGAGTTCTTAGCCCATTTGGGACCCAATTTCAGCAACTCTTTCTCGATACTTCAAAACACTCTTCATGCATCTCTGGCACTTTTAATCAATCAAAGTTATTGTATTCTAACATATTCTATCCCCAAACAACACTAGACAAGTCATTTAGTGGTTCAACGCAATGTTTTCGAGTTCTTAGCCCATTTGGGACCCAATTTCAACAAGTCTTTTTACACACTTCTAAACACTCTTCATGCATCTCTAGCACTTGTAATCAATCAAATTAATTGTATTCTAACATATACTAACCCCAAACAACACTAGATAAGTCATTTAAGTGTTCAACGCAATGTTTCCGAGTTCTTAGGCCATTTGGGACCCAATTTCAACGAGTCTTTCTACACATTTCTAAACACTGTTCATGCATCTCTAGCACTTGTAATTAGTCAAATTCATTGTATTCTAACATATTCTAACCCGAAACAACATTAGATAAGTCATTTAGTTCTTCAACGCAATGTTTCCGAGTTCTTAGCCCATTTGGGACCCAATTTCAGCAAGTCTTTCTCGATACTTCAAAACACTCTTCATGCATCTCTGGCACTTTTAATCAATCAAATTCATTGTATTCTAATATATTCTAACCCCAAAAAAACTAGATAATTCATTTAGTTGTTCAATGCAAAGTTTCTGAGTTCTTAGCCCATTTAGGACTCAATTTCAA